TTACCACATTTTCCATGGCTTTATCGGTGTGTCATTACATGCTGCTCCCTGGACAGTGGGCTGGCATCTGCTGACTCAGCCTTCCACTTCCCAGAATTTCCTTGTCTGTTTATCCTACCTAAACTTCCTGCCTGGCTACTGGCCAATCAGCATTTTATTTATCAACCAATCAGAGCAATACATTCACAGCATACAGAACATCCCACAGCAGTTACCATCAGAAACAAGAATTCAGTCATCATTCCCGAGGTCCTTACTGCTCTGGAAACAGGATTTCAAGTATTTTAAAATAATTTCCTGTCTCTTTGAATGACAGAGGATTTATTCACTATAGCAAAGAACTGCAATCAATCTACTTGTCATCAACTGATGAATGGATAATGAAAAATATGAATACTATTCAGCTGTAAAGAAAAACCTCATCACAGAATTTTCAGGGAAATGGGTGGGAAAGAAAAGGCTATATTTTCTCCCTCATATGTGGAACCTATCCAATATGTGTATGTATGTAAGCAAATGTGCATTGGGTACAGTATAACATATATAAAGGATAACAAGAAGGACCAAATATTAGGAGACGAGGAAGGACTGAGTGCAGAACCAAGAATAATCAACTCCAAAAGATTGGTCCCTTCATTGTATTAAACCAACACCTAATGACTTAAAGTTATACACATAGGTGAACACATCTCCCAACTCTCATCAGAAAAGCCTCTATTTGTAGTAAATAATGATTAACACAGGGATCCACAACTGGCCAAGGTACAAAAAATAAGAAACTATAGAATGTTCAGCTGTAAATGGAACATCTATGTCTCACCTCTCCTCCAAGGGCTCAGGGATCATTTTGAAAGAAAGAACAAACAGAGCCTAAGATCTGGAAGTGATGGATAACCGTAGTTCGTTCTCTCTCTCTCTCTCTCTCTCTCCTTTACTTTTTTGGGGCCCACCACCCAATAGAGAGACTTATTCTTACTTATGAATGTCGGCCTTAGCTTGGCTTGTTTCTAGCCAACTTTTCTTAAATTATCCCATCTACCTTTTGTCTCTGGGCTTTTACCCTTCTCTATTCTATATACCTCTCTTTCCTTCTTACTCTGTGGCTAGCTGTGTGACTGTGTGACTGTGTGACTGGCCCCTGGTATCCTCTTCTCCTCCTTTTCTCACTCCTCCCTCTTCTTTCTCCTTCCAGCTCTTCTCCTATTTATTCTCTCTGTATGCCAGCCCTGCCTATTTCTCTCTCCTGCCTAGCTATTGGCCATTCAACTCTTTATTAGACCAATCAGGTGTTTACAGAGTTAAACAAGTGCAACATAAAAGAATGCAACTCAACTTTGCACCATGAGCAAATGTTCCACAGCATAAACAAATGTAACACATCTTAAACTAATATTCCATAACAGATGACTACAAGGAAAAAGTATTTTTGGGATACCACAGGTCAGTTACACATACGAACTCACAGGAAGCCAGACCAAATCCCAGAAGGGGAAGAGGAGTTGGACATGAAGTCCCACCCCTAGCTGAGGAGCTATTAGCAGTTGTTAGCTGGTGGAATAGGAAGGGTTGGTTTTCTTTAAGAGCATAGCCCCTTGAGGTCCTGCTGCAGCCGGGATCGTTATTGATGTCTGTGGCCCATGTTACCACGGAAGGCCATGTGGCTATCCATGGTCTGGGCAGCCACCTGAGGCCATGTTATGTCCATGGGCCATGCTGCCACAGGGGAGTGGCATGTCTAAGTTCATGATCCTATTGCTGCCAGGGTCTGTGTTGACCTATAACTGTGACCTATTTTATGTGGATGTCTGTGGTCTATGCTGCCACTGGAGGCCATATTGATGTGAGTGGCTGTACTGCCACCTGAGGCCAAGTTGATGTCTGTGGTCCAGGCTGTCTCTGAGGACCTTGTCTGGCTCTGTGGTCCTACTGCAGCCAGAGGCTGTGTTCATGGTCTGCGCTGTCACCAGAAAACACATGGGAACCCATGATTCATGCTCCATCCAACTGTAAAGAGCAAAGAAACTACTTTTGCAGTGATATCAATGACTGCAGATGCACAATTGATAAAGAGGGACATAGAAAGCTTCTGTGTCAACCTCTCACTCCTCAAAAGTAGTAGCCCAAACAGGAAGCCATTGAAGAGAAATCTTAAAAAGTATGATAAAGAGGCTGAAGTTAGCTCTCTACAATTGATGGCTTCTGGCAGGGGTATGGGAGGGGGAAAGACTCACTTCTATTTAAGGGGCAGACCACTGAGAGTTTGACCATGCTCCAATGAGCATATGGATAATACAACTTGGACTTGTTCTTATTTTTCTTCTTTTTTAATTTTAATTTTTTATGTTTTGGGGAAAGAGAGGTCACAAGGGAGGGGCAGACATGGAAGGACCAGAAAATGAGTGTGATGGGGTGCATGATGTAAAATTCCCAAAGAGTCAGTAATAATTTTTAGAAAGGAGTGTAGCCCCTGATAAGGTCATCACACACATCCAAGAATATTTGGACAATACAAGTTGGCACTGATAGGAACAAAATAAAGCAACAAAGTTGGAAAGGAAGGGGAGCTGGGAGAGGGCAGTGAATCTGGGAAGAGTTGAGGGAAGGAGGATGAATGTAATTAAAGCATGCAGTATAAAATTCTTAAAGAACTAATATAAAATTTTTTAAAAGAAATCGGTCCCTTGCCATCTCTCCCAGCAGGACTTATTTCAGGACTATTGCACACCTGCTCCCACTGTGTCCCCAGTTGTCCCCTCACTGAATGACAGTTTGTGTTTGGTTCATTTCACCATTGTTACTATAGAAAAGAGAAATTTTGTCTCTTTTGCTCATGGGTCTCTGAATTGGAGAAGCAAGTTTTTAAACAATTGTTGGGGCATAATTATTTGTTTTCACCTCAATTCTAGGACCACCCTTCATCTTTGAGCTTGGTGGTCATTGCACTGAATGCTCATCTTATTTTATTGCCTCCTATAAATAAGGCTAGCCCAATACTTGGGCCATCAGAATTCATTATTTAGAATGGCAGTGATATTAACAATATTGATATCTTAATGTTTTAAAGTTATATGCTTAGAGTCTATGGACAGGGCACAGATTTGCTTATGATTACAGGACAAAATGCAGATGTTAACAATCTTGGCAGTGAAAAAGAGAGAGTTGATGGAAGAAGGCAGATTGAGAAGCAAATGTAAAAAGAAGTGTAGAGTTGTTATTGTCCTTATTTTATCAAGTAGATAATAAAATGATTGCATCAAATATCAGCAGGTATGATATGACAGTTTGTGTATATCATTTAAGAATCATTATTAAAAATAAGAATGGAACTAAAAATTATTGGGAGGTATAAAGGAGAGAATTACATGTGTGATTCAAATCTTTTATTCATAGTGAAAAATCTATATACCTTATTTAAAGTATATTTATCAAGAAATCAAGGCATAAACATTATTTAGAGTTATAGCAGAAGGATTAAAAGAATGAATTGTTGGACAACTCAAATATCATGATTGGTATTCAAAAAAAGAAGGGGTGGGACAAGAGACTGCCTGATTCATCAGGAGTTTTTATAACCCATTGTAATCACTGCCATATGAATATATTTAATGTGAACCAAACAAAGCACTTGTCATTTTTATGAAAAGTTTTTTTTAAGTTCCTCTTGGAGTGAACTAAACATACAAATGGCACAGGCTCAATTGTACAGCTAACAACTGAGACACAGAGCCTTCCCATCTCTGCCCTGCAGCATTCCTGTGCTCTGTTTTGGCAAACATCCCCAAAGGTTCTACTTTCATCTTCATTGCCTCAGACTGGCCTCATTTGATCTGAAAATCACAGAACCGAAAACACACAGTGGGCACTTTCTTGTTTCTGGGTGTTTTAGTTCTACTACAGTTATGATATCAATTCATGTCATGGGTGTAGCTGTTATCAGGGGTTATTCCAACCTACAGAGCGAAACTTATTCTTCGGATTTGTCCATACCAAGTTCCTCATTTGGAAGCTAACAGAATAAGGTACCTATGGCTCTTGTTAATCAGAGGATGTCTACACTGGCAGGATCTCTAAGGATAAAGTGCTGAATTATAAGATGTAGCTATATGTTTGCAGATTCAGCCAATATATTTTGCAACACAGAGATACTAATCTCATCAACAGTGTTTAAATGCTCAGTGTCTCAGCATCCTCACAGCACTTACCTCTGCCAGTCTGCATCATCTTAGCCATTCTAGTTTGGATAGTGTGGTACCTCTCTGTGGCTTGAGCTGGCATCCCTCTGATGACTAATAAAGTGGAACACTCTTTTATACGTTATTATTATTGGCCATTCAATTGTCCTCCTTTGTGTATTACCTGTTCAATCTTTGTACATTCAAAAAATTAGTTTGTGTCTCCTCTTTATGTATGTGTGTCATGTACACACTCCATATATGCATCACATTTTAAAAAGTTCTCTTTATATGTAACAGTACCTTACTTCTATAATGCAGCCAATCTTTTCAATTCTATTATAATGTCTACCAGGAAACAGATGTTCCTGCTTTTATTAAAGTTTTACTTCTAAAATCTATGCCATGATTTCTGCAATATCCTATTTAGAACTTATTTGTCTCATGGTCATGAAGATGCTTTTACAGGTTGTCTTCTAAAAGGCTTATTGTCAGGGTGGGGAAATGGTTCAGTGGGCAGAGGGACTCGCTCTAAGCCTGACAAGCTGAGTTCAATCCCAAGGACTGGCGTGGTGGGAGGAGAAATCAGTGTCCCACAAACTGTCCTCTGACATCCTTCCATACATAGGCACCATGGCATGCACATGCATGTTCATGTACATAAATAAATTAAAATAAATAAATAAATAAAATGTCTAGGTGCCTCTCCCTCTCCCCTCCTCCCTTCTTCCCCCATTCTCCATTTTTCTTTCCTTTTGGTTTTTATTAGCACATATTACTTACACAGAACAATGGGTTTCCTTTTGACTTTTAAAAATGTGCATCTGCTTCTTCTTCTTCGGGAAGACACCAAATGGCGGACGACGCCGGTGCAGCGGGAGGGCCCGGAGGACCCGGGGTCCCAGGACTAGGAGGCCGCAGTGGCTTCCACGGAGGATTCGGCAGCGGTCTTAGGGGCCGCGGTCGTGGTCCGGGCCATGGCCATGGCCGTGGCCGAGCCCGCGGGGCTCGTGGAGGTAAAGCTGAAGACAAGGAGTGGATCCCCGTCGCCAAGCTGGGCCACCTGGTTAAGGACATGAAGATCAAGTCCCTGGAGATCTACCTGTTCTCCCTTCCCATTAAGGAATCCGAGATCATTGACTTTTTCCTGGGCGCATCCCTAAAGGATGAGGTTCTAAAGATCATGCCAGTGCAGAAGCAGACTCGGGCTGGCCAGCGGACCAGGTTCAAGGCTTTTGTCGCTATTGGGGACTACAATGGTCATGTTGGTCTTGGTGTGAAGTGCTCCAAGGAAGTAGCCACTGCCATCCGAGGGGCCATCATCTTGGCCAAGCTGTCCATTGTCCCTGTGCAGAGAGGCTACTGGGGGAACAAGATTGGCAAGCCCCACACTGTCCCGTGCAAAGTGACAGACCGCTGTGACTCTGTGTTGGTGCATCTCATCCCTGCCCCCAGGGGCACTGGCATCGTCTCTGCTCCTGTGCCTAAGAAGTTACTGATGATGGCCGGTATTGATGACTACTACATGTCAGCCAGGGGCTGCACTGCAACCCTGGGCAACTTTGCCAAGGCCACCTTTGATGCCATCTCCAAGACCTACAGCTACCTGACCCCCGACCTCTGGAAAGAGACTGTGTTCACCAAATCTCCTTATCAGGAATTCACTGACCATCTTGTGAAAACCCACACCAGAGTGTCTGTTCAGAGAACCCAGGCTCCAGCTGTGGCCACCACATAAGGGTTTTTATACAAGAAAAATAAAGTGAATTAAATCTGTTAAAATAAATAAATAAATAAATAAAAATGTGCATCCACACAGCCTTCCTTGGGGAGGAGGGGAAATCTAAAAAAGATAGGAGATAGACCCCAAGGAGAGGAAGTTCCTTTGCTAGCTGGCCTGCAGCTGCATGAGCAACCCCAGGCCTAGATAATCAGATGACCCCACATGAGCTGAGTTGCTAGTAAGAGCCAAAGGCACAGTAGGGCCATACAGGAGTCAAATGTCGAGAACACAAGGCTGAGTTTCTGATCAAGGCAAGGCAGTGGCAGAGAGGTAGCTGGCTATGGGCAGTGGTGTCGATGGTATGGGATAGCAGACCACACTGTGACCTTGATTTCCAATTCCTCAGATGCAGCCTTACTCCAAACTATGTGACCCATCCAACATCTTCCCAATGAATTCCTTTTATTTTCTCAAGTTAGCCCAACTCTTATGAGATTAAGAACTCTGTCTGATAAGACCAACAAATTCAAAACTCCACTGAATGCCATAGTCAGGAAAACTACTGTTCTTCAAACCTAGGGAGTTGAATATACCCTCCCTTGACCTGACATAAAGCATCCCCAAACTATTTCCCTAAGCTTCCTCGGCCTGAGAAGGAGTCTAAGGGACAGTGTGGAAACCATTGAGCTAACCAATGACTGACACACCAGCCCATGGGTCCTAGCAGAATGTGAGATGATGGCTTACTTGGACACAGTCCCAAACTCTACTCAGTGTCCCATCCATCACTGATAGAACCTCACTGCACCTAGACCTATGGAAGAGAAAATCAGCCAAGTGAATTTCCTTCAGTGATAAACCACATCTTCAAATTAACAGAAACTCTCAAATGGGGTGGAAATTATGCCCTAATTGGAAAAGCATTTTTAAACTTCTATCAGTGATAGTGTTCTGAGCCACTGATATCCAGCAGTAAGGAAATGGGTGGAATGAAACAAACACCTCTGGAGTATGGGCCTTTCTTTTTCCTTTTGCTAAGAAATTTTCCAAAGCTTGAGGTATCATATAAGCAGAGGACATTCTTTAAATATGTCCATATTATTTTTCCTTTTCTTCTGCATAAAGCCCTACCCTAAGCTGTCAGTCTCATCACGGAAGTGTTGGAACCTCTTCTAAAGACCCTCTGCTCCTTCTGATCCACACACTTCCAGTCATCATATGTGCCTCAGATATATCCCTCCCTTGTAATCTCAATATAGCTGTCTGTCTATCATCTATATATCTATCTGTATATCTATCTGTATATCTATCTATCTATCTATCTATCTATCTATCTATCTATCTATCTATCTATCTATATCTCTATCTCTCTGTGTGTCTCCCTCTCTTTCTTGTCTATCTCTGTTTCTCTCTATCCCCTATCCCCTTTCTCTATGCATCTTCCTCCCGATGTTGTCTGTCTTCTCTGTCTCTCCATGTCTCTCTTTCCTTCTGTGTATGTGTGTCTCCCCCTCCTTTCTCTCTCTGTCTCTTTCTTTCTTCTTTGTCTGTCTGTCTGTCTCTCTCCTCCTCTCAGTTTCTCTCTTCATCCTCTCTCTATCCCCTCTTTCTCTATGTGTCTCACTCTCCTTCCTCCTTTCCTTCTCTCCCCTCTCTCTCCATCTCTCCCTCACTCCCTTTCCCCTGCATTCTGATGTCATCCTAGATTCACCCCATCATAACACAGATGGTTCTGTTCTGCAGTCACTGACTATAAGCCTCCTACCCTGACTTTTCTTAAATGGGGATCTATACTATCCAGTATCTGCTCTCATGGTTTGGCCCAGAAGAGATATTTGTTGAGTAAAAGATCTAGTGAATAAAGAAGTAAGCGGAGTGCTGTGCCAGCCTCCTGTGCTCAAACACTAGCTTTAACTTAGGGGGTCACGTGATTTATTATCCTAACTGTGAGCTCATCTAGAGTAAAAGGGTACTCACTGGACAGGACCCTGGGACAATGTGCATTATTCAGGACTGGTTGGCAGTTGGGGCAGTCACCACAAGTGCCATCCTATCCAGCTTGGTCTTTCTCCTTTAATATTGTACAATGGATGTGAGTTGCTCAGACTTTATTATGACAAATACTTGAGCTAATCAACTCACAAAGAAAAAAGTTTGCTTGTCTCAGTTTCTGGGGTTTCAGGATATAATCAGTCATCCAAGTTGTTCCATGAGGCTTACCTCTCCAAGGCTCCATCTCTCCTGGTAGTACCATGGGTCAGATCAAGACTTTAATATGTTTACCATTGTGAGGAAGCTTAGTATCCAAACAGAGCAAGGATGAACCTCTACACTACCTGTATTGGTTACTTTTCTGTTGCTGTGAAAAAATCACCATGACCAAGGCAACTTACAGAAGGAAGGGTTCTTTAGACTTATGGTCCCAGAAGGATAAAGTTCATCACCATCATGACTGGGAAGCATGGCAGCAGGTAGGCACAGTGGCTAGAGTAGCAAGCTAAGAGCTCACAATCTTAAATGATAAGCAGGAAACAGAGAAAACTGTTTTTTCAAACCCCAATCCCTCTTCCAGTAACATCCTTTCTCCAGTGAGGCCACACCTTCTAAACCTACCCAAATAGCACCACCAACTACAGACCAAGTGGCCAAACATCTGAGCTTATGAGGCACATTCTCATTCAAACCACCACATATTAATGGTGGTTGAGTCCTCATCTTGAATGGCCTGGGTAGTGAGATGGGGCTGATAGAAGTTAGAGGTCAGAACTGCAGATAATGAGTGAACAGTCATTTACCTATGGTAAAAAATGAATCCAAAAGGAAGGATGAGATCCAAAAAGAGGGTGTTGGCTGAGATGACAGGGCTTAATTTAGGAAACTGTACCAAGGACAGACTAGTAAAACGTGTGTGTGTGTGTGTGTGTGTGTGTGTGTGTGTGTGTGTGTGTGTGTAGTAAGCCAGAGGGTTCTCTGTGTTGTTTCACATATCCTACCTCTTTGAATCCTTATCCTATGAAACCATGTGAGATGGGGTGAAATATTTTGAGGTACAAAACTGAACTAGCTGCTTCATACTAAGTCACAAAGTTAGAAAATTAGAGATCAGGGATTCAAATGAGTCTGATAGGATTGTGAAGCACACAGGCCTAACTGTGATAGTGAAGTTCAAGGGGAAAGAATGGCCTAAAAAGAAGGGAGCATTCAACACTGTCAAATGCTCTGAGGGATGAACAGAGCCTGGTGAGAGGTGGTGTCTGACAACTGCTGCACCAGACATCACTTATTAATTATTAATAATTATTAATAGGGAGAAAATGAGAACAGAAATTCAACAAAATAATCACAGGGTTATGACTTCATAAAGGGCAATAAATTTAAAACATGTATGCAACTATATGTGCATTTAGTTGAATTGCCTAATCCAATGGTAGGGTATTTGTGAACAATTCTTAAATATTTTTTTTCTACCTTACAGGTACAAACAAAAACAATGAGGAAGTGTGGGCTCTGAAATTCAGGGGGACAGGAACCATGTCCCCTTCATTATTATTTTCTGACTGGAGTATCATCCAAATGCCTGATATGTGAGAAATTAATAAATGGAAAATGATACGGGCTGGAGAGATGGCTCAGAGGTTAAGAATGAGTCCTGCTCTTGCAGATCCAGGTTCTGTTCCCAGCATCTACATGGCAGCTCACATCTGTCTGCAACACCAGTTTCAGGGGATCTGATACTTTCTTCTGATCGCCACAGGTACCAGACATGCATTATGGTGTGCACAGATACAGGTAGGAAAGCACTCATACACATACAACAAAAATTAAAAATAAATTAAAAACAAAATAAACAACAACAACAGAAAGAGTAAAGGCATGAGCAATGTCAGAGCCAGAGGCAAGGCTTGTGTTTACAGCCTGCTCACGGTTTACAAATAGTATAGATTATCACCACTCTCATTTACCCAAAGACTGTTTCATCATTTTTCTTAGGGTCCTCTCACTTGCTCCAGTGAATACAGTTTTTTGATCTTTTCAATTTCGGCCCCTAGAGCTGTTTCCTTATTTCAGTAGACTACATTCCCCAGAGATTGTTTTCCCCAAATCTGGATTCCCCTTTGCGGTCTCTTGAGCTAAACTTTCTTTTGTTTTGCATCCTTTGATTCTAGGCCTCTACACATTGACAGTCGTCTTTCTGCTTATTAACATGCTTGTTTTGAAACACTTTCAAAACAAAATAAGGGTAAAGGAAGGGCCCTCAAAACTGCTGTGGTGAGCTTCCCTGATTCACCTTTCCCCGCCTTTGAGGCAGTGAACATTTACTTTCCTGTGTTGAGCACTTAGATGGGAGAAGGCACAGAAGGGATAATTTTCCCGTGAATCCCGTGGCAGGTCCCCAAAGAGGCCCACAGGAATAAAGGATCTGAGGCACAGTCCCAGTAATGATGGGTGTGAGGAAATTGACAGACGTCTTCTCTTACTGAGATAACACGTGCCCCCAGATCAATACAAGGGCAACAGGAATTAACAGCCAAGAGATAAAGAGCAGATCACCAAGGAATCAGGTTTTGAAAAAAAAAATCGCTAGGGAAGGTAGTCTGTTGAAATATACTCAGTGGATCTATTTTTCTTATGAATAAACAATCCATTATATGTGTGCTTGGTGGTTTTAAGACCTCGGTGAGAACTCCAGCCTCAGTGCAGACTAGTTCTAGACTCTGAACCGAACAGTCACCTTCAAGCTTCCTTTTCTCCACCAGTGAAGTGCAGGTGGTGGTAAAGACAACCATCTCCTAAGGATGCTGTGTTTGTGACGTAAGAGATGCAAAGGTCTTGGTGCAATGCCTAGGATAGAGTAAATGTGGACTGAATGCCAGATGCTGTGATCAATGTAAGGGGCCCTTGGCGACGTAAGTGTGAGGTGCAGAGAGTTTGAGGCACTTCTCAACAGCTTAAGGTGCTGTCTATAGATGTGTCACGGGCCCCACTGGAATAGCCTTCTCTCAGTCTTCTCTCCCATCCTTCTACTTTGTAGGTGAAATGGGAAGGGACATTT